GAGAAAGCAAATTATATTGATTATTGCACGTAGTGTGATACCACTGGTGATTTTGTGTGAAAACAAACATATATGGAAAAGCTATGCAACTTTAAGAATAAGACATTATAAAGATTATTATTTATTTGACAGAGAGAGACATAGCGAGAGAGGGAACACAAGCAGGGGGAGTGGGAGAGGGAGAAGCAGCCTTCCCACGGAGCAGGGAGCCCGGTGTGGGGCTCGATCCCAGGACCCCGGGATCATGACCTGAGCCAAAGGCAGATACTTAACAACTGAGCCACCCAGGCGCCCCCAGCCAAGCCTTTAGTCACCACCACATACATATTCCAGGTCCTAGGAAGGAAGAAAGAGAGTGAAGGCTCAGGGAAAACATCCTGAGAGTTACTTACTTTTACTCACATTTCATTAACAAGATCTTAATCACATGGTCTCACATAGTTGCAAAAAAAGCTGGGAAATGTATTTAGCTAGGAAGTCAGTGGACAACTAAGACATACAATTAGGAGATTGGGAGTTTCTATAACAAAAGAAAAATAAGAGGGTGGTAGAACATATCTGATTATCACACCAAGCATTTAATTTTATAAAGCAAATATATCTTTGTATATATATTGGTATTTGATTTAGTAATTAAAAAAACAGTAGAAATGGATCAGTTGCAGGCATTGAAAAATTTAAATATGTGAATATATATTATTTACTTGAGAGTAAAGATTAAACTTTGAAGTACTAAATTATATTAATATTCCATAAAATGGAAATCATTTTTGATTTATATATGTAAATACATGTAATTAAATATATATAAAATATAGTTTTATTGTATTAAATATATTTATATTGCACTTATTTTATATTTATAAAATTATTATTTACATTTATATTATATATTTATATTATTTCATATATATATATGAATTCCTTTATATATATATATATTTATATGCTTTATACCTAGGTATCCAAAAGTAGCAGTAGGAAAATTGGTATTACTGATACTAAATAAATATGGACATTTACAATGCCTGCAGGCAGTACTCAGCAGGATTGACTAAGGCATTATCTATTTATTATATGTAAAGCAGCTAAGGACTTCTGGCAAACTGGAAATTGAATTAAATCTCTAAAATAAACCAAATTATACAAAACAATTATATTTTTTGTTATAAATTATCTTGGTTTATTTAAGCTTCTGACTTTTGAAAATGCTTGAAGGAATATACATGCATATACATATAACATATATATGTTTATTATATGTATATATTTGCATATCTATATACATTCATTTACATGTAGACAAAATATCTGAACTAGTTTATTCTGATGTACGTAAATGTGGCAAACAATACTTAGAAGACTTAATGAGGTTAAATCAAATTAATTATAACTGTGTCTGTGGCATCAAATCCCCCCAAACTTCCTCCTGGCATTGCAGAAAACTTGGCATATGTGAGCTTAGGTCACACTATTCAAAATCAAGGAGCTGACAGATCAGATTTTCTTCCCAAAATTTTGCTCATTAGCCAAACCAGAATACTTAGTACATCAGGTCACTCTGCTTGAATTCCCAAACAACACATGACTTTGGGATATGATCCCATGATAACTCATTGAAAGTGTCTAAATACATGTACCTGGTATAACGAGCCACAGATGACAACTTAGAAAAAAGGAATTTTTCTTCCCTCTGTCACATATTTTTGACACTTTTACAAACTGTTGTTTAACAATAGCTTTCAGACTCCATCTTAACTTTTGTTGTTGTGCTACCACAAACTGTGTTCCTTGACATTTTAAAGATCTTTGTAGACAGTATTATAATAATCTTTTGATAGGTTTCAAATTAAATGAAATATTTACAGGTTACTTTAGGAAAGTAAAGAGTAAAACACATTAATTAGAAGATAAGTTTTCAATTAGCAATAACCGCGCCCCGGATAAACCTCATTGGCTACGATACTGCCACTGTGCAAAGCTCATTAATTAGAAGATAAAGCTACATTTTCTTAAGCAATTGACATTTGCTACACATATTCAATTATTTGCAATATTGATTTATAGCTTATGTCTCATTATTGTAAGATTTCAAATCAATGTACTGTAATTTAAGAATATGTCTAATGTTCCATATGAAAGATGGGCTATTTAAGGGTGTACATTGTTTCTAAACTCTATAAGAGATGAAAATAAAAGTATTCTTGGGGCGCCTGGGTGGCTCAGTCGTTAAGCGTCTGCCTTCGGCTCAGGTCATGATCCTGGGGTCCTGGGATC